AATAGCACAAGAAGCTTGTGCAGCATTCTTGCAAAACAAAACCTCTTTCCTCCTGCCCTTTCACAAAATGTAATATAAATATATGGATATATTTAAAATCCAGGGCTTCTAGGCCTTTCCTGCTCCACTTGTGTTTGCATTGCAAGAAAATGCAATTAAACTGATAGGCCAGTTGCTGGGAGGATAAGTCAAGACCCCTGGTGTGAATTATTCAAGCTGCTGTGAGTTGTGGCAGAAATAATACATAACACTGCGTCTTGCTTTTGTCAAGCCAATCCAGACTGCTTCATTGTCTTGTTGAAGTTTGGGCTTTTTGCTTTCCAAGACATCATAATGTGATTGCTTGGTTGAGAGCTGTGCTGTAAAGTTGGCCTCTTGGCTGACAGTGGGGGAGGATGGCCATAATACCAATTCTACAAGGGTTTGGTTGTGCCTTTTAATTCTACTGTCTTTGAAAGAGTGTTTGGTGCATCTTTGAATTTTAGTTCATGTGTGTGTATGTGTTTCAGGAGCTGGTCTTGTTTTGGCGTGGGCTGACTTGCTAGAACTGTGCTGAAGTGGCTGCAAGTGCCCAGCAGAAGACATCCTGTGCTGGAAGGGCTGTGGGATTGAGGGTGTGCAGCTGCTGTGCTGTGGTTGACACCCTGGCTTACCTTGGGACAAATTATTTATGTCCCTGTAGTAACATCACTGCATGTCCTCAGCTTAGCAGCTCTGGCTTCTGGCCCGGGGTAGCCTGTCTGTGTGGCTGTGAGCATAGGTATGTCTTGAGTTGCAGGCTGGAACTGATGCTTTTGACAGAGTTACAAGTCTACCCTAAGCTCTTTTTTGAGTTCCTATCAATGTGCTTGACACAGACATAACACCAGGCCACATGGAAGCCTATGTTAGAATGAAAATGATGAGAACTGTGATTAGACTGATATATCCCTCCTAATTAGTAGGAGTAATACTGCTATGTGAGGAACTAGTTTATGAATTGGAAGAAGCAGGCTACCTTAGCCTGCTCTTCTCCCTAGCAGCTGTGCAATCTCCATCTATTCACAGAGACTTGAAGACCTGCCTGGGTAAAGCCCTGATGAGGCTGTGCTGACCATTCTTCAAGCAGCAAGTCGGGCTATAAACCTCCCAGGACCCCATCCAACCTGAATTTTGCTGTGATCTCTTATGTCAGTTTGCACGTGTGTTTTCCAGTTCTTTTCATAACGTCACTTCAGAGCGTAGGAACCACATGACATGTTTTCTTCCTTTGGGAAGGACTGGATGAGATGAAGCTGGAAATAAACCTTCCTAAAATGTCCCCACTCAGGTTTTCATGAATGAAAGCAGTGCATTTCAACTTCAGGAAGGAATTTCTTCAGTCTGTGACAACTCTTATGTCCTTATGGTATGTTTCTTTTCTGGCATAAATGCAAATTACTTTAGAATGGCAGAAGAGCAAGTAAAAATTAGAGAGATAAAGAGCCAGAGATGATTTTTTGGAGAAATAACGGAAGTGGATGGAAGCCTTTCCTTTATTCAAGAAAGAAAAGTAGTGCTCCTATACATAGAAAGCTGCTGTCTCTAAAGTAGGTAGAAGGAGTTTATTTTTTTTATGAAAGGTCTTTCTTTAACTTGAGCCAAATCCATTAGAGAGTGGTATCTTCTGTATGTAAAATGTTTATGTAATATGTATTTGTGTATATTTGTTTACTTAAATCTGGGCATCTGATTTGTATGAGGAAAATCGTGGTATAGGTGAGTTATAAGTTGGTGTTGTCTTAAAGTAACAGGTTTTAAAAAATTCCTTAACCAGCTATCCAGAAAGCATGTAGCTTTATGCTTTGCCCAGAAGTGAATTCAGTCTCAGTAGGAGCTATGCTTTGCTAAGTCCAGTGTGACACGTACCACGCATTTAGTGGTCTCCTGTGTCTTCTGGGGAATTGAGTTGAATTAAAAATGCATGGAATTCTGCAAAGGATTGTCTTTGCTGATAACTGGAGAATGGAGAATAGTTAGTGGAATTTGTGCTGTGAGGGCTGGTGGCTATTTAAACAGAGCTATCCACACGGAGCTGCACCTCAAGCAAATCTGTAATTCTTGGGACTTTGCACTGTGAGAGCCGAATGGACGGCTGCAGAGTAGGAAATTTGTCCTTCATCTTTGTCTGCTGCTTTTGCTGCCTGCCTGCTCTGATTTTTCTTGTATTTCTGTGGTGAATCTGGTTCAGATTCTGCAGAAAATCTTATGCTCTGATAGCATCAGGTCAGCACATACAGTATGAGCAGGAAGCGCTGTGACTAATTTCACATCATGTGGGTCATTCCTTTTTGCCCTTCGCAAGTGGAAAAATGTGCGCAGTGTAGCATACTGTCTCCTTTCAGTATGTTATACATTGCTCTGTGATTACTTGTAGCAAGAATTCTTTTTGGAAACGTTGGTACCCCCATCTTTGTTCTGCTCCACCTCTGTTTGTGTGGCTGTGCGGATGGGTTTGTTTGTTGTCGCTTGGTGCTGGCAAAGGCTGCTTGCTTTCCTCCCCCACATCAGAGCTTAAAGATAGTCGCTCCTTGCAGTGTGTGGCAGCTGGTATGGAAATGGTTTTTGTCAGCCTGTTCTGTGTGTGACATCTCCCACGATAGCTGCCCCCACACAGACGGTGCTCGGGTGGCTCTTGCAGCATCCTGATCAGAGTGGTGACTCTGAAATGCAACACTTTGTTGGTTTTATTTTTGGATAAGGTGGATGGCTCGAAATTCAGAGGTGAGTTGAGTCAGATCTGAGAGTAATATTTGTAAGTCGATATAGCTTTACCACTGGATGTTTTCTCTTGAGTATTGACTTAACATCCTTTTTTCCCTCTTAGTATGTAGAAACAGAGTGAAGAGAAACTTTGAAATAGTACGGAAAAAATCTTGACATAAAGCCAGAGGCTTTAAAAGTGGATTGGAGGACAAAATCTGTTGGATTTTCTCCTATGCAAGATGGATGTCAGTAGAAAGGAGGCAACACAGAATGGTTGTTAGTGATAAGCAGCAAGATAATTGTCCCCAGGATTTTCAAGGGTGTAGGATACTCACATGTGCTTCTCCTTGGTGGGTCCTGGGGGGTGTGTGTCATGGATCTTTGATCTGGGACAGGGCAGTGGGGAGCCACCCCCTAAAAGGACATTGAGGTGCTGGAGCAGCTCCAAAGAAGGGCAACAAGGCTGGTGAAGGACTTGGAGAATATGCCCTAGGAGGAGAGGCTGAAGGAACTGGGGCTGTTCAGTCTGGGGAAAAGGAGGCTGAGAGACCTTGTTGCTCTCTTCCAACATCTGAGAGGTGCTCACAGTGAGAGCGGGGTTGGTCTCTTCTCACTGGTGACAGGTGACAGGACGAGGGGAAATGGCCTCAAATTGCACCAGGGTAAGTTTAGGTTGGATATCAGGAAAAACTTCTCTACGGAAAGGGTTGTTTAAGCACTGGAATGGGCTCCCAGAGGAGGCAGTTGAATCACCATCCCTGGATGTGTTTAAAAACCATTTGGATGTGGTGCTCAGGGACATGATTTAGCGGAGGCTTGTTGGTTAGGGTAGCATGGTTAGGTCATGGTTGGACTCAATGATCTTTAAGGTCTTTTCCAACCTGAGTGACTCTATGATTCTGTGTGGGGCTTCTTCCACTGAAGTAACTGCTCGTGTTTGCCTCAAAGGCAGAGCTTGAGACAGGGAAACTCCTAGCACAGTTACCAAGGGGACAAAATAGAAACTTTGAATGTGAAAAATAAACAAAGCTAAGAACGTCTAGGAGTCTCAGACTCCTCTAGAATGAGTGCTTCTACACATTGTTCATCAAGGAGTAGCCTGGCTCCCCTTTGCCATGGAGTCCTAAGGTGAGCTCTGTGGGGTGCCCTGGATTATGTACAAGAAAGGTGTGGTTCCTGGTTTGAGCTGCAGCTCTTCACATGGGGCAAATTCTTTTGGCATATGCTATGGTGGTCCTCATTGCTTCCCTGGAGAGCCTGTCCAAACAGCTCATCCTTTTGACCTGTGTCAGGAAGGTTAGGGTTTTGTATTACATCTTACAAGCTTTTCATTAGTATTGGAGTGTTGTTATATACAAAATTTTCTGGGAAATGCATACTAAACAATCTGTAACCTTTGTGGACTACTGGGCATCTGTGCAGTTGTTTGATGTAAAAGACCCAGGTTTCCAAGCAGCGTTGTGGGGTATAAGAATCTATATAGATCAGAATAAAATCAGTCTGCATATATATAGCCTCTCCAAAGGGATTTAGGGAAATAAAGGATATAGCAGTGGGAGGTCAGGCAAGGACTGGATAAGGGATTTTTGTGTAGGGACAGCAGCTATGGGTCTCTTTTTATGTGCTGTATGATTGTTAAAGGACCTAATGATAATGTTTCTATGGTACAAAAAACAAATGTGGGTTGGGGTTTTTTTCTTCTCTTTGGAATAGAGGGTGACTTTGTAGTTTTCTTGTGCTTTTCCAAGAACTCTCAGTGTGTCCATGTGCAATTTGTGAGTGCTTAGATTTTCCACAAAAGGCTTCAGGTCTTCCAGTTCTGTATTGTTGTCTTTCTCCAAGTGTCTTCCTTAAAACTGCAGCTATTGAAAGCTTCACTTGGAACAGTGGATGCTCAGAAATCCTCACATCCGTTGCTAGGTCGTTTCTGAAATAGCATTTATATTGAATCACCCAAAATCTATAGCCATCTTTGGAAATATAGGCCATAATTTCTCTACTTGCTCTTCCCTGACAGAGGATTTGTGTGTCCTTTCTTCATAAAATGTTTGAAAGGTGCTGTAGAAGCATGCAGTGGTACCATGTTAGAGCAGCATGACAAAAATGCCTTGCATGTGTAAGAATTTTGTTTTCTTGGGATTTTTTCCTAAAAGCCACTAAAACTATGGGGAAATCTACATATGGAAAAACGTTGTGGTCAGACAGTAAATGGAAGTATAACATGGCTGTGTTGCTCTTAGTGGACTCCAGTTAAAGAAGGTGTTGCTATTTTACAGGTCTGTCTCTGGAGCGCTCAACCAACTCAATAGCCTCACGTGCTCGCCTGTGCGAAAGGGAGGAAGAAGTCATGACTTGCTTTGAAACTGCATGTGTCATTGCTCAAGTGTACCTGCAGGAGCTAGAAAAGGTAAGAAATGTGCTCAGGGTGTTGCCTGGTGACTTGAGTAGAACATCCAGGAATTTTGGCTGCGGAGTGGTGGTGAAAACGTCAAGCAATTATAGATAATGAAGTGAATGAGAACAAGTCTGAAGGAGCCAGGTGTCTTAGCATTTCTGCAGGCTGAGTTTTTTAGTATAAGCAGTTGCAAAACAGCTGTTTGTCTGGTCTCTGCCAGTTTCTTTTGAAAATGTAGAAACCAGTTTTGCCTGCAGTAAAGTACTGAATATTTGGTACGCTCAGATCCTTATCTCAAGTTCAGCTCTTACTAAGAAGGATTACAGACTTTATGGAGCAACTGCTACCATGGAGGAGCCCTAGACATTTAATGTATCTGCCATTTGTATGATACACAGTACTGGATATTGAGATCCCTAACAAGCTAGAAGTTACCTTTTGGCTTGATCATAGCACCTTAGCTGCCAAAGCTTTGCCATTTCCAGGTAAAAGTGGAGGAACCTGGATCAATAACAAGTAACTGCTCAACCTGATGTTGGCTAAGGATGCTGAGTAAGATGAGTACTCAGCTCTGTGCTGAGCTGTAGTACGTGCCAGTTCCTTGCTGGGTACATGCTTAGGTATGTCTATCTCTGTAACTTTGCCTAGCAGCATTTAACAGGGACACACCATAAGTTTTCACGCTCTGTCCTCTGCCACACACTGTGCTTGACATGAGCATCAGTGAGGCAATGGACATTATCTGTTATTCTTTACAGCCTTAGACCTTCTGACCAGATATTTATCCTCCTCTCAGCAGCAAGGCTGCTGGTTTTGTTTTCAGTTGTGTTAAAACAAGAAAAATAAGCTTAAACCACACACAAAAATTCAGTAAGTAGCCAGCTAACAAATTGTTTGGTCTGTTTCTTTGCAAGAAAAAGCTCAATTACCTTTTTATTTAAAATGAAGTGTAGCCTTTTCCTTGCAAGAGGACCACTTCCTGCAGTGCTAGGCACTGAAAGCTTGTGTCCACCAAGAAGGGAAAAAGTTTGAACGATAATTTGTTCATCATCTAGACTCAGAAGGATGGAGGATTCCTGATTCACTCAGAGTCCATAGATCCTTTTCATTCCTGGAAATAAAATACTACTTTGGAGAGTATACACAGTGCAATTTCTAGCAGTGAAAGCTGTCTGTTTAGCTGATCTGGAAGGTAGAGCTTCTAAGGAAGCCAAAGCAAGAAAACTCAAAGAGGAAATGCTGCAATTCTGCCATCAAGACTCCTTGTAGGTTACTAACCCTTACAAACATTTGTCATGTTAAGCTAGGTATCCCCACTTAAACGTTGTGTTTCTATTTCTATGCAAGATGCTGGCTCTGTTGGTCGGAGTTGTACTTCTGAAGGCCTTGGTATTGATATGGAGCCTTCTGTTTTATTAGAATGGAAAGTAGCAGATGCTGGGTTTCAAAGCTCACGGAATATTTCACAGAAGTCACTGTATAGTTTATTTTAAAGTTGTCTTTGGAAGGTTTTTTGAATAGAATAGAATACCTTATGAAGGTAGGTTTTTAAGTAACCTGAAGAGGAATCTGATGACAGAAGCTAACATTTTATTTTTGGTATCTTGTGGGAAAGTGACTAATTCAAAGAGGGGTCTGTAATCCCACTGGTTTCTTTCCTCACAGACTTTAAACAACACACATTCAAGGAATATGAAGGGCAGCAACACAACATACTCTGAGTTTGAACTGTCCTACTTCCTGGAAGCAGCTCTACAGAGTGCCTACGTGACTCATTTAAAAAAAGGGTAGGTGGATGCAGATGTTAGTAGAAATAGATAAAAAATAAAAAATACCGCATATTTTGTCTCAGAACGGATGAGACTTATGTCTTCATGTGTTCTGTTGTGACTTTTTTTTGCTGCTGTTGATTTGCTTCAAGTTTTCTCATATCCTACCCCTCCCATCTGCCTTTCCCGCTCATCCTAAGCCCAGACTCACAAGTAGGGTGGGGTTCGACTATTTTATTGTCTTGACTCAGCTCTGTTCCCTGTGGAGATGAGGAGTCTGACCATAGAGAGCGTGTGGAATGTAAATACTGCTGAGTTCTTTTTGAATATTCAGCCCCAAGGCCTGGTGTAGAGCTCAGTGAAGTCTTAAGGGTTGTTTTCTTTTAGTTATTGAAGTTCTTGAATGTCTTGATCAAACCTCCGAATCTGTGTGCTTTAACTAGAAAGAACGTCATCTTTCAAAGGCCATTGGTGAGAGCACAGCAGCCCCTAAAACGGGCAGTATCTTCAAATCTATTTAGCTGATGGAGAGATTGCTGTGTGGGGAGAATGTCCTTTTATCATGTGTAAACAATACTTACACGAGTTCATCCTTCCCTAGTCCTGTGCTTGCAGCAAAGTATCGCTTTTGTTCTTAAGGAATCAGATAATGAATTTCTCACTGTTCTGTAGAATATAATTGGTCAAAGTTTTGTAAACTTCTTTAAGCAAACCATCTTTGAAAGTATTTCATTTTGGTGGGTTTTATAATCTTCACACCCAAAGATGTTTTCTCTGCTTTTCTTTACTCCTTTTTCCTTCTGAATGAAATATGGCGAGACAGAAAAGAGGAAAATGAGAAAAAAAATCACAGCAAAGATCGTTTTAAATTCTTCTGTATAAAAAGAAACCAAACAAATTTTGTTTCTGTTGTTGGAGGAAGGACTGCTCCAGTTCAGTTTGTTTTTTTCTTTTTTTTTCCCCAGTAATGATTTAAACGCATCGATGAATATGCTTGATGTTCTCTATTATTTTATTTGTAGCCAGGGTTAAAAGCCTTCGCGTACAGTGCAGTTGTACTTACTATAGCATGTCCATGCAGGGTGCCTTGAGGTAAGCCTTATTTAACCCAGAGGCTTTATTCATAAAGACCAGGTGTTGTGAAATGACCCCTTTAGCCAACTGCCTGCAAGTTTATTTGTAAGAAGTACAAGGTTCCAGGTGCAAGATGTAGTCCCAGTGATACAGGATACACGTGTGGTTTTCCCATGAGAGATGGAGGTTGACCATCTGTTGCTCAAAGAGTGGGCTTTACTGGCCCTTTGCCATTTTGGTAGCAAACAAAAAGCTCAGATCTTGCCAGTAAACTCATTAACTATGTAATAAAATAAAATCTCATTTAGAACATATGGCACTGATGTCCTCTAGGCACCTTTTGAATAACAAACTCGCTCATGTTCATTTATTCAGCAACATTTGAAATTAAATCTTCATCACTTCAATATATCCAGTGGGTTGTTTTAGCTATTACTGTGAGCCCTGGTTGCTCTCTTTCCACGTTATTATAATGACAGCCTTTTAAAAAAGAAAAAAAAAAACAAAAACAACTCTACAGGAAAACAGTTGGGAATCAAAATACATGTGTGAATTAAGCACCACTTTGATTACATGCTGAATCGCTGCAATAGCAGCAAAATGTTCTCTGTAGCTGTCTCATGATGAAAAAACAGCCTCATTACTGCCGTGGAACTGACATGGCTGTGACAAGAACAAAGCCCAGTTCGTTTGGCACCTCTTGCAGTGCAAATCAGAAGCAAAAGCCAGTGAAATTAAAGGACCACAGGGAGGAAAATGAGACAAGTGGGAATCCCCTGTTTGTGTCTGTGCCACCTGCTTGTATATTAATGTGCAGTTTCTGCCACAAGAGGGCATAAACAGCTTTGGGATATGTGAAGGAAAAGGGTGGGAGGGTGAGAAGGGAAGAGGCTTTTTCAGATATTTTGTGCGTAGGTCCCGGGAGGTGCATGCCCTTCCCCTGGGCAGCTGTGTACAAAACAGGACTATAGGGGAGCTGGTGTCTCCCTCAGCAGATGATCCGGGAAAGGAATGGTACTGTCCTGCTTTGTTCCTGCTGGCAATCTCTTGGAACATGATCAGGGATCATAAAGTCATACAGTGGCTGGGTTGGATGCGACCTTAAGGATCATCTAGATCCAACCTCCCTGTCATTGGCAGGATTGCTACCCGGCATGTCAGATTAGGTCAGGGCCCATCCTACCTGACCTTGACACCTCCAAGGATAGGGCACCCACAGCTTCTCTGGGCATCCTGTGCCAGTCCCTCACCACTCACTGAGTAAAACACTGAATTTAATGATCCTTATGTTCCCTTCCAACCCAGACCTTTCTTAGACACTGTGATGTGTACAGCTCTCTGAGGGGACAGCCACCTCTGGAGAGCAAATAATCCAGGAGGCAGAGATGTCCTTTCCTCTTTCAGTGCAGGTTAAAAAGAAGGCACCTTCCTCACTCACATGCACCCATGCAAAACAAAGGTGCGTGGTGCTAAGGAGCAAGCTGTGAGGGTCAGCAGGTCCTACAGCTGTGGCTATTCTTTTCCCTCTTAATGGACGCTAACTTAGAAATGCTGTGTTGCTGAAAGCGCATCTGCTGCAGTTGCAAATAGGATTCATCTGTATGAAGTAACAGTTATTTCTGTGTGACTCTTCTAATGGTATTTGAAGTATGCATGGAGTAGCAAAGGCAAAGGAAATCAAAACGTCAGGGCGTTCCAGAGAAAGTGATGGTTTTGGAAGCTCTGTGTGCTTCTGAAAATAATACTTACTTTTCAGAAAACCATTAAGAGCTTAGTAAAAATCAGATTTCCTTATGATCCCTCATGCTAGGGACCTGAGATACTTTGGAAAGCCCTGATGAAATTGCCTGCTAGGGAAAGCTTATGCAGTTCTTTCTTTTTATCTTTTCCTGTCATTTTTGCAGAGCCCTCAGTTCCATTTTTTGAAATGTTACAGGCTTCTGTTGCAAGGGCACTTGGAAAGAGTAACTTCATGTATGTGTTAGTGTTACAGTACAATCAAACAAAATTTTTGCCAGAATATTAATCTTTTTCTGAGGAATTTGTGTGGGTTTGCTTGTCATTTATCCCTTCTTCAGTCCTCCCAGTCTAGCACCTAATACAGGAAGCTTAGGACACTGCAGCTGTTAATTCACAAGTGAGTCTTACTGCCTACTAGATGAGTCTATGAAGGCTGCTCTGAAACTAATGCCTCTTATTTTATTATGTTGGCTCATGATCTCAGAGGTGAATGTTGGTGGTACAGCAGTATCTGTAGAACCTTCCTGCCACTTTGCCATTACATGTTGTTGCTGCGTGATAGATGGCAGCAGAAAGGCAGTCTGACACAATGGTGTTTGACATGGAAGTGTGTCTGAAGCAAAACTGCGTCAGTAAATTCCTCCATGAAGTAAAAATGGTACCCACTGACATTTCATCGATGCTTGCTGAATGTTTATGGAGTCCAGACACTGCTGCAGATTTTTATGAGTGTGGCATGCAGACTCTTACTCATTGCTGACCAAAAAAAAAAAAGATTTGTAGCTGAGAGTATGCTTTATCAAGTAGTGCTTTTGTGTTCTTTGTATTGGTTGTAGTTTCCATGGGAATAAATATGAGACATTGCTTTTGGAGCAGCCGACCTAGATAAGTGCCAAGCTTTTTTCTTTAGTTGGTTGGTTAGTTTGGGATTTGGGGCTGTGGTTTTTTTGTTTGTTTATTTTGGTGGTTTTTTTGAGCCTAGCTGGTTTGACAGGTTGACATTGGGAAACACTAAAGTGATTTGTTGTAGTTAGTTGTCTTGTATCTTTCATAAGAATCTGAGGTCTAGTCCTTTGAATACTTTTTATGCCTGTGCATGAGCTGCTGTTTAAAGAGAGAGTATGAATTCTTAGAAAGCTGGGAGAGATGTAGAAGGAGCTTCACTTCATAGTGGGCATGGTATTCCCACTTTTTGTGTGCTTTCCATTGGACAAGTGACTCTGCAAACTGCCATGTAGCCATCTCCAGATAATCTCTTCCATTTGTTAGTGGCTATTTTCAGTTACTAAATGGGGATAAGAACATGATCTTTTGGGGTCCACTTGGGCTCATTATCTGTATTTTTTTTCCAGTGATTTTGCACAGAAAACAATGTATTTCTTAATTTTCTTGCCTTAAAATTTTGTGTAGTGTTAACTAAATAATGTGACATAAAAGTGACATGACTATTTCCATTCACATCTGGTAATTACCCTATATTAATGAGGGTATTTCTACAACAAACAAACAAAAAAACAAAGCAAAAACAACCAAAAAAACAATCCATAGAGAACAAAAAACCACAGCAGCAAAAACAAAACAAAAAGCACAGATTTTCATTCCATGCTGGACTGAGTCATTACTCAATGTGCTCTCAGTTACTGTTTACACTGATGATTTTCTGCGTTCCTCTTTATTAAATTAGCTGTACTTGAATTCTAAAGCACGTTTCATCATGACTTTTAAAGTATCTCTCTTACCACCTTTGTGGCTAAAACCACAGCAGTTCATTTAATGGCCAGGTGCTGTTTCTTTCAGGTTTTTCTTTTTTTTTTTTTTTTAATTTCTGTGGCATTTTAGCAGTGCAGTAGGAGCCTACAGAATCTTTCAACTCATTATTTCCATGATCTAATGTTGACTTACGATGCCTTGATTTGAACCAACAGTACCTGGGATTTCCAGGTAGTCTGTTGAAGTCATGAGGTGATCGAGATTTTTTAGTTCCTGATCTAGACAAGATCAAGTGGATTTGCAATGGATTGCCAAGGGCTATTGATTACATCCTCATCCACTCGTCTGCATATACTTACTGCTGTTCAAAGACCTACTCTTCTTTTTTGTATTCTTCAGGTTCTATTTTCAAAAATCTCATTATTTGCATGCTTTGTATGTGAAAGGCTTCTGTTAACAGAGCTGTAAGTTGGTTATTGTTATCAGTAGTATTCATGCTTAAAGTGAAGCCTGTGCTTCTTGGCCTTCCAGTGCCTTGGAGTGGAAAGGGGAGCTCCCTCAGTGAGGTGGATTTGCCAGCTGCTGGCAGGTGTGCTCCGTCTCTTGTGACTTCTCAATAATATTCAATAGCATTCAGAACATAAAAGCAAAGCCTTAGACCTGTACAACTGGTATTGCTGTCACATGCTTTGTATGTTTCAGAGTTAAGAGCTTGGAGCGGGTGTTCTCAGAGAGGCTGACCACCATGTCTCTGTCTGGCCGTGGTAGGTGCAGGCTGCCTCTTGCAGCTGTCTGCCATGTGCTGCTACCCCTGTGAAGATGTTTTTGGTGTTTGTCTTATGGTCTGTGTTCAGCCCCAAAGATCTGTGGAAGGGCCAGAGCTTCCCGTTTTTTCCTTCATTTGCCTCAGGTTCATATTCCTTACTCTTCCTTTCCCCATCAGTTCAGAACAGGATGGTCCTCCTGTGAGGCGTCGACACTGTTTATGGCCTTGTCTAAAAGCTGGAAGTTAAACAATTCTGTAATGTTCTGAGGAAAACAGTCTGTTTTTTAGCACATTCTCTAGGTTTTCAGTCTCTAACTAAAAGCCAAATGTGGAATTAATTGGCTTTGTAAATGATCACTAATGTTCTTTCTGTTACTAGTGAATGGAATTCATTGATGCTTTTAAGACAAATACGATTATCATAACAAGAAATCTAAACATATGCATTCTTGAAAATGTCATGGAAATGTCATGTACAGCCTTTTTCTTCTTCTGAGCCTCTTAAGGAGCCCAAGGAAGCACAGGAATGGCCCATGTGTTTTAAGTAACTGAGGGGACCAGGTGCTTTCTGTTCAACCGGGGAAATGTCTTTTTGACTCTTCAGCATAAAATAGCCTGTGAATGATTCTGTTGGCTTTGGTGTGACTGCTTGTGTGTGAACATCACCACGTATCTAATTGCTTTCCTTAGTTTAAGATTCAGAAGTGCATGTATGTGTGAGTATTCTTCCCCAAACCCACAAAATGCACCAGGTACCTTGGCTCTTTGTTTGGAACATTTGCTGAAGCTTTAACGTCCAGCTTACAAAAACTTCCTCAAGGAAGTTTTCCATCCGAAGCTGAGAACATCTTTTACTTAGGGGAGAGTGGAAAGAGAAAAAAGAAGAGATGGCATCTGGTAAAACTTGCATTATTTTTTAATCTTGTCTCTTTGCATGTCTGTAGATTGCCCTCAACTGGATAGTTTTCAGAAGTCTTTTCTCTGAGTTTAAAACTTGAAGATTAAACTTGGTTGACAGGAAGGCCACACACATTTGCGTTGTGTGACTTGACGACTGTAGGCCTTAGGGTGGCATTTCATGTAGCCAAGTCTTAAGACAAACAGCATCAACTTAATTTATTTTTTTCCCAGAAAATATTTTGCAATGTTTCTTCAAATGTTTACCATTGATTTTAGAGCACAAGAAGATTTGCAGTGCATGAAACACAATCTGTGTAATTACCTTCAAAATTTAAACTGATTCACAGAGGTGGTTGTTATGGTGTGTGGCTTTTTAACAAAACCAAGATGCTGCCTGCACAGAAGATTTTCCTGGAATAAGTTGAAGTGGCAATTTAATATACCAGAACTACTGCTGTCTGAATGTCTTTAATTCAGGGCAGCATTGCTCCTTTTCTGTTGGCTTGTATTTCTTTGTGTAGCTACCAGCTTTCAGTGAAAGTGAGCTAAGCTGTTTTGTTACTGTGGTGGTAAGGCCACGTTCTTAACCTGGAGGAGCTTACAAGCTTCAGGTGCTGATATGTCCAGTGTTTAACTGTTCCTCTCTCCATCTCTTTCAGCACTCAGGCACATGGTTAAGATATCATTTGGTGACTAGGCTGGTTTAATTGCTAATGGTGTATGCATAGTAATGTGAAGATTTTTTTTTTCCAGCCTAGCCCTCTTTCACTGGAGGTTAAGCTGTGCTTGCAGTCAGCTACTCAGCTACTGGACAATAAACTCTTTAAACTACTGTAATTTCATTATGTGTCTTGACTACCAGACACAAGATGCTTAAGTACCACCTGAAAGTCATCGTCGTTTAAATCATGTAAGCTCAGTATAATTCATACCAGTCCAGTCTGAGTGTGTGAAGAGGAGATGTGGATGCTTTTAAGAAGCAGCATCCGCTTTATAAATACGAACTATGAAAAGCTTCCAAATGTGTCCTCTGTTACTCAAATGCGAATGTGATCTTCTCTGAGGAAGCCATCTGGAGCAGGCATGCTACAGTCACTGCCTCACTTGGTGCCATTGTCCTCTGCCTCAGAGTGACTCGTCTCAGTGCCGCACACTTGGTGTGAGGGGTTCCTTTCTTGCCTTCTGTGAATGTCAAGTGTGTTGACCACCTTTGGGTGCACCATCAAAATATTTCCTTTCATTCATTGCTGGTTTGCATTTGCTTTTTGTTTCATGGTGTTTTTTTTTCTGCCTTCTCCTTAGCGATATTGTGAAGGGAATGAGGAGTCTGCGAGAAGTATTACGGACTGTGGAAACAAAAGCTACTCAGACCTTCAAAATGGTAAGGGGAATGAACGGGAGAAGGGAAGGTGGGTGTAATGTGCTGTGCAAGGAATTCTGTTTCTTAACCATTGCAGTAGGACAAAAAATTTTCTTCACTTGACTGCTTGGAATTTTTTGTTTGTTTTAATACTTCTGGGAATTATATTTGTAGTGATGCACTTCAAAGTGTTATCTAATCTAAACCTCTGAGCCCTCAGGTCTGGACATATGGGTTACTTTTCTCTCACTCTCTCCTTTTTCTTTTTTTTCCCCTTGCAGTACTTTTTTTGACTGTGGTTTAAATAGGAATAGGAATGAATTTAGTTTGACAGTGCTGTCCCTTGTTTTCTTTGTCTCTTTTGTCAACGCGTGCATGCACAGCTTTTCAGATTTGCATGTAGCAGCATTAAGTACTTCTAGCTTTTGCAACAAATAAACAGCGCTTTTTTTAGACTAAAGTGCTTCTGTGTTCCTCATATAAAACTCACTTCGATACAATGTAGTGCAGAGTGAGTGTTATTTTTTGTGTTGTTGTTCCATATCTTGTAAATCCTGAGTACTTCTGATAAAGAAATTGTAGAGAAAGTTGTGTGCCTCATTAATTGGGTAGTTTAACTTAGATGGTTCTTTCCTACCTCCACTTTAAGAAATTTTGTCATGAAGTTACTCAGGATGTGATGAAATCAAGCATGGAGAATAGCAGTCCTGAACGTGAATGAGAAGTTTGCAGCCTTAGAAGCATTGCACTAATATGGCTAAACTTGTTTTGTGTTTTGTTCAGCTTTCTCTGTGTTTTGCTTAACATTTTGAAGATGGGGAGCACTGGGTTCCAGTGAATGGGACTGATCTACGTGTGTCTTCTTCACATACAAATGCAGAGTTGAAATGAAACCCCGGACAGAAAGGGTATCCTGAGGGCATTTTTGCTTAGGTTTCTCACATTTGTCTATTTTGGAACTTTTTGTTCTAGAACTGTATCTTCTGGTTGCCTTCAGATCACCTTCCCTGCATAGTCAAGAATGCAGATGCACACACCAAAGTTGGTGCAGGGAATTAGAAAAGGTGACTTAATTGTCACGCTCAAATGGTCACATCCTTTCCCAGAGTGAGATCAGGACTCAGGGGATTTTTTTTTGCTCATCTGCTTTATTGCTATGCTGAAATGAACGTAACCATCTGCTGTTCTTATACTGTGACAGAATGTGATACTCAACTGCTCCTGTCCCAATGCAACGGCAGAGAGCTATACAACACCCTTGGGGAAGAATGTTATTCCTTAAGGGGAAATTTGAAGATGTCCATCCAGTAGTTTTTCCTGGGATTTCCATTTTACTGGAAGTTGTGTTTTCATTTTCTTGTTTAGTTTTGAAAAGCTGTCAAGAGGGCAAAGGGAAGAATGTGCTTAATTAAACAAATTTTTCATGCATGAAAATGAAACACAATTTTCTTTTTCCTAATTTGTGGGATCACAGTGTTCTTTAAGCATAATGATGCTTTTTTTAGCCAAAGGCAGTAATAACATAAATCACAGTCTTGGCCTGTTCTGGTTTGTTTGGTCTTATTCAAAACAGGAGTGAAGCTAATTTACACAGCTACTGTACTGTATGTTAAAATCAAAGAAAATGCAAGTATGTGGTTCTTTCCTTTTGAAAGGCTTATCACAAACTGTACTGCTTCTTTTGTGTGAAACAGTAAAGATCTTTCTGTTGCTGGCATAATACTCTTCCCTCCATTCTAAGGCTGTAGGAAAAAATACAGGAGAGTTGGCTCCTTGGGGTAAAACTGACTAAATAATTACACACTGAGACAAAAAATGGTACTGGCTAATGTTGCAGTGCCCTCAGCCATTTTGCCTGTGGTTGCTTGCTATAAAAAGCATAGAAAAGCTTAGAAACAGAAGGCTTTCTGTAGGTTGTCAGTAGGAGTGTGGGGAAGGTCTCAGGGTTTCCAGGGAGTTGTGTGTGACAATATTTCTTTAAGGCACTGCCGTACATCCAAATCAGTTTGCCATTTGCTAGATACAGCTGTGAAACCTGTCTTTATCTGATGTTGAAAGGACAGTATGTTCTAGTGTGGCTGCATTTTAGACTAACTCAGATTTCATGTGTGGTGAGGCAGATAAAAATAAAGAATCTTGCATCAAAATAAGTTATTTTTCTGAATCTGATCACATGGATTTTCTTTAAACTCAGGGTGATTTATTTAATCCTACAGATACAACAGCTCAAGTGGAGTAATGTTTCAGTTTATCAATCATACTTACTCTGGTATTTAAAAGAGAATGACTTTTGGCAGGCTCATACCATCTCATAGCACATAAATAGCATAGAAAATAAATATGCAGCAGTCAAAGAAAAGTTAAAAAATGTTTACTGGTGTTAGGACAGGAGGGCTGAAGTTTCAGTCTACCTCAGTTCTGTGCTGTGTTTGCTGTGGTGTAGAGCACCATGCTACTGAAATTCCCAGAAGATACCCCTTGTTTTGATTTCTGCACTTGTTAGCATGCTTATCTATTTACACTGGGGAAAAAAAAATAATTAGGGGTTTATTGGATGAGTCTAAACAGAGACAAATGCCAAAGACAGTTTCACAAAGTCGAGTTAGCTGGCTGCCTTTTGGGCTCAACTTGACAGGTAATAGATATGAACTAGAAGGCAAGTATTTGAGGACACTCAATGGTCAAACGAGGGCATGTGACATTGCAGTCTCGATGTAAAGTTCCTAATCTTTTCTCTTCTTGCCACTATTACATCAACAACAAAAGAGAGGGACAAATAATACTGAGATGAGGCTATAAAGAGCTGCATTTACACCAACAGCTGAATGCTTGCTCTTTTAAACCCCTGGGCTGAGATTCGCTCACAAAATCTTGGTGCTGCAAAAGCATTGGAGTGCCATTATACTCAAACGTAGTTACATTTGTGAGACTCTCAGCAGTCTGTGTGGCAGTCAGTTGTCTTCATTCTCTAACTTGTCCCTTGTTGTTAGGCCTTTGTGATATGTGTATGGTTGTTAGGTGTGTGGGGTGTGTGTGAAGGCTTCACTAATGCATCTTTCTCTGTTTACTGATCTCTAGACTGCGGCCAAACAGCTAGGCCAAGTGCTTCTCCATTCCTTGAGTGAAGACTGTTACTGGAGCCCTTTATCTGATCCTCTCCCTGAGTTCATGAACAAGGAAGATCAGTCTTACATTAGCAATCTGCTTTGTCGGAAGCCTGAGCTATACACAGAAGAGAAGTAAGCATTTTTTAATTTTGGATTATTGACAGAAGGAAGAGAGGATGTTTGAACGCACTACAGTATTGCTAATTATGTCACTGATTGATGTAGTAGCTTTGGGAGTTCTTGTTTTTGACTTCTTATCAAGAAGCCTGCTGGAAAAATAAAGCATTAACCCTGGAGTATTTGATTTTTTTCCACGTGAAGGTAGAAAATCCAACCAAATAGCTGTCTTTGCTGAGAAGTGGAAATAATCTATTTATGGTTCGAAATAGCTCATCTTGGATATGTTTCAGAGCTTTTAATTGTGTAAACCTGCAAAAGAAGGTATTACCTAACAAATGAATTATGTATGAGATGTTTCAAGTTACTGCTCCTCTTGTGAAATGAGAAGGGGAGGCTGATAGGATAATTCTTGACCTTCTTCAGAAAAATGTGTTCTGTCTTTCAGTGTTTACTGCCCTCAGGACAACGTAGAAGAGGCTCTGCTTCTCCTCTTAATCAGTGAATCCATGGTAAGCAAAAAAGCAGTTTGTAATATTGATAGCTCAAAAAGAATATCTAGAATTTCCATGTCAAGTCTTCTGGTTGATTTTGTGTACAGAATCTTCCCTAAATAAAGAGAAATGAGGACTCTACTATATTAACAGGAAATGCCATTTCTTCCTTTACTGGTGATATCACTTCTATTAAGTGAAACTTCAGTGAAGGATTTGCAGAATTATCAAGAAAAGGAAATGCCTGTGTTCAGCATAGCTGCATGCAGTTTCTCTACAGTGCCTCTGCTTTACTTTTTCAAGGGCTTTTTCTGCAGTTAGGAAGGGCTTTTTGTAATTAACATAGAGACGGCTAGACCTGGGTCTTGTAGCATGCCAAGTGCAGTGCTACACTTCTGTTAAAATCAGAAGAGCTCGTGTCAGTGTGGCTTGTCTGGGCTGATCCATGTAGGAGGAGGATTTGGAGCAGCAATAATACTGACTGCTGCAGCCATCGCTAGGGCTGGGCTTGCAGTTGAGCAATCATATGGGCTCTTGAGCACTATAGTCTTGTTCTGCTGAGGGGAATACAGGTTATCTCTGTGTTATCCAGTAGTATGCAAAATGATGAACTGATCTTATAACTGTTATGGATGAAGCAGTATGAAAATACTGTTGATAGAGTCTGGATTGCTGTGCTGACTTCAAGATTAAATAAGTATGCTTGTATTTAAGTACTGTCTTATAGGAACTGTCTGGAGATAGATGCAAAGCATTTTGATCTGCTGCACAAAATGTCCTTAAATAAACAAAGGTCTGTGGTAGAGCAGCACAGGAACGATAACAGACTGTTTTTGGGGAATAGAACATCTGAGTATCCACCTTCCTCTTGAGTTAACAGTAGGTTGCCATTGGCTTATCATTTTAACTGCTTAGTTTATTGTTTCTACTGCTGTGGAAGAAGAAATTTTGCTTAATTCATTATATAATGAGGTGTTTTTTCCATTACACTGTTTTGTTGTAAGCTAGTGAATTTTCTCATGTACAGGTTTGTCTGGAGATGTGTTGGTTTTGATTTATTTATTTGTTTATTTATTTTTAGGTTTTGAATTTGCTGAAGCTTACAAAAAATAAGTTAACGAGAATAAGATTTCCATTCAAGGTCTCCCTTGCGATATAATGTTAACAACCAAATAAAACACATTCCTTCCTGCAGGGAGTATTCGTGGCAAGTAATAATGATATGGTTCTGTGAGCCTGTAAGCAACATGATTGGTAATCCTACATATTGGCTGGATTGGTTGTTCTTTTGGTTTTACAGTTTTACCGTTAAGAACCTCTTAAAATTAAACAGAAGTTGTACACTGAAGTTAACCTGTTTGGAGCTATCCAGCTTCTCTGACACTTTGATTGCTCTATCAGAGCAAAAATCACCAGAACACTACTTTTGTCACTTTACAAATCAGAAGGAAAAAAGAGCAGCCATGTCACCATCATTCTTTTGCTGGACTGTAACACCAAGGGCTGTTGGACCTACTCGTTTCTGATTTTAGCCACTCCAAAAAGAGCTAAGTGGGACAACGTGGGAAGGAGTGACTGAGAATGTGTCAGCACATGAAGGGGGCATGGAACAAAGACATGTCCTGTGCAAGAATGTTGATCATTAGAGAACCACAGTGTACATATGTGAGAAACTGGCTGAAAGAAAATGCATTTAGGGTGTTGTAAGCCTCATCCTACTGTCCAAAAAACCTTCTCTGACTCTTAGTGGTGCTGGGTTTCAGCTTGTGACACCGTGCTTCTTGCTTCTTTGCCTCTACTTCCATTGCTTTTGAAGGGTGTAGCCTTGCATATTCTGGTGGAATGAAATGAGAGTATCTTCTAAAGTGTTAATAAAGTGCTCCTTCAGTGTTTTGCTCACTTAGAGCCTAAATATGTAAAAATCTAGCAGTGTAGTAGACTCTTCCATAGTCTTAAAAATGTTCCAGAATGTGTTTTAACACTTGCAGGAAAAGCTTTTTCCTCGTGGCCCTTTTCTTAGTTGCCTCCTGTATTCTGTCTGTTCTTTTGATAACAGGAACCTGTTTCCCCAAGCAAAGACATCTCAGTAAACAATGAAAAGCATCCAGTTATTGGGTTTGGCACATGCTCATCCTTTGTGCCAGCTATTATTTAGCTGCCATGGCTGGCTGTGGAGCTCTCGTGGAGGAACCTGGTGAAACAAATCGGGTATCCTCAAGAGTACCACAGTCAGGGCTGTCTGTAGGGGCGTTGGAGGCCTTGTGGCTAGGTTCTCATTCCTTATGCACAGCCTGAGCAATGGTTTGGATGGATGGGCTGTTTGCGAGAGGAGAAAAATGCACTCCCTCTAACCTGGGAGGAGGCCAGCTTCTGCTGGCTCTCACAAGCTCAGGCTGCATTAGAATGATGGGTTCTAGTTATGCACTGGAAAAACGGGCCATCCTATTTTTAAACTGCCAGCCCCATTTCTGCCTGTGTTTAACCCATCAAACCCAATGGCACTGTCTCTGGGAGGGCTGAGTGCATGCCAGAGCTGGACACGGTTCCTTGCCCCCATGGTGGGTGGGAGAGGTGCTGGTTCTGCTGGTCCTGTCAGCACACTGGGGCTGTTGTGCTGCTGGAGGCAGCAGGGGAGGTTTGGCAGTACTGATTCTTAACCACCGTTCTGTTTGTTTCAGTGTCTGTTCTCAGAAGTGTTGTTGGTTGTGCTGCCCCTTAAGATCAGCTTGAAGTTTCTCAGAACATGGAATGGAACGCTTTCTATTCCTTTTAGTGTGTATTTTTTAAGTTTAAAAAACAAAACCAAACCAAAATAAGTTCTTGATTTGTATTTAGAAATCTTCCCTTCTTGAATCAGAGGTCTAAAATACAGTCTTGAATCCTTTATTTGGGCCTTGGCAATGCTGTCTCTTACAGCTAGGGACTCTGGCTGGTGCGGTCCACCAAACATACCAAATAATGTGACTTTTTTAAAAATCTTTTTGATTCTGTGTTCACTACAGTCATACTGGAAATGAAGCTCCTTGTGTCCAAAACTGATAAATTCTGTTCCTGTGTAACAAAGATCAGAAATGTCATCGCCATCTTACCTCTGATTTGAATCCCTAAAAGCTATTTGACCTTGGAAAGCCTGAGAACGCAGATCAGATGGTGAGGGGGGAAGTAAGATATTGGGACTTGTCCTGTTCTTTTTGCTGGTGAGAGCAATCTCATGGTTCTCAGCATGCCTTTAAAGGAGTAAGTTTCAACACATTTATATTTAAACACAGAAACAATTAAAATGTATTAGCTCTGCAGATCCTTACTTTATAAAATAATAGCATCCCACAACTGAAAGAGAAAAAACTTATTGCCTTTATGGAACCTTTCTTTCCTTTCCTTCTTTTTTTTATTATGGTTCCAAGCTCAGTGATGCAACTGGGCAGTCATGTATTTCTTTGAGGATCTTTGACTATAGCAGATGAAGGAAAAAACTGGGGACAGGATTGCCTGTTCTGTTTGTTCCTTGCTTGCTTTGTCTTTATGGCTGTGTTGTGCCTCCTTGATAGAAATGGAGTTACTCATTTTAATTGAAGTTGCTACTCATACAAACCAAGTCCTTTACCATGCTCTGCTGTGTTTGTACTGTGGGTGAGAAACTCAGCCTTCCAGCCTCTTTGTATTTGTGGGCTTTTTAGCTGAGACAGTTAATGTGATCTTTTAATCTACAGGCTGTTGCCTACCAGAAATGAGACAGATGCCACGTGGTTCGTACAGGCAGTAAGTTTTCATTCTCTGAGCTGCTGCTCTAAAATCGAGCAAGTTGTGGTATCTCAGTCTGAGCAGATGTGGGAGTGGTTGGGGTTTAGTATTTCCTCCTTATTCTGCCTGCTTCCCGTTCTCACAACAGCCTTGTGGTCAACCTCGAGCATTTTCTTTGTGTCTTCAAGTGCTGCATAGAGATCATCAGTAATGTAAGATGGGAATTCAGCAGCTTTTTACATCTGAATGAGTCTATGCCACTGCAAGGAGTTCATTCACTTTGTTGGCAGTACAGGCAAAGCAGCCTGAATGAAGACCCAAAGGATGTGGGCTGAGTATTTCCCATCTCTTAGCAGAAGCATCAACTGCATGATTTTAAAGCCTTGTTGTCAGTCTTACACACATAGCATTTGTTTTTCCTCTCTTAATGTTAGTATTGAGTCACACCAATTACATTATTACAGTACACTGTAGAACATGCTGCAGTTCTGTATAGATGGGTTGCAGTGGATCTGGCAATTATGTCTCTTTTGAAAAGACACAAGTTGAACATTAGAATGCCCATGAATTAAGGGGCAGGCAGCAGGCACTCATTAAAGATTTTAATTGCTTTCTTTTTCTTATTTGAAACAAAGCAGGGGGAGCCATCTTTCAAAGAGAGCAATTAAAGGATACTTCATAGCTAATTGTAGTGTGAAGGGACTGCTACATGGAATATGCTCTACTGAGATGCATATGACTGCTTGATGTTTTATTAAGAAGCATATCTCTGTACTGTGGTAAAATTCGATTTTCTGCAGCATAAATGTGCGTGTGTAATAACTGCTGAAGTAATGGCTGTTTGGATTTGCTGTGGGCCTTTTCCTCTCTACAGATACATGTAATAAACATACCATAAATAAGCTGCAGTTATCACGTGGCTGTGGCACGGCAATGTCAGTGACGTACAGCAAATCCCTGTGGATAGGTGGGTTGTCCTGGTGCAGATGTGCTGTATATGTGGGTATGAAGATGCAAGCTGTCCACAGCTCAGCAGGACTGTATAGGCCAATTGCTGATCTGCATCAAAGCAGACATTCCCTGCTGTAACCTGGCTGGGTCTGTGCAGCTGGAGTGCCTGTGCTGGGCCAGAGACACCATCATGGGGTAAGCTGTGTGAGCTTGTGGCACCAGCTGCAAGCCCTCTTGGGTGCATGCATCCTGCCACTGCTGGGAGGGTGCTTGCTGTTGTTGGTGTTGTGTCTGTATTGAATCCCAAAATATGCAAGCACAGTTCATCACTGGGTTGCCGTGTTACCCCAGATAGAGTGGGATTGATTTTATATTTTCCTCTGTGAATACAAGTCAGTCCTGCTGGTAGCGACCTTCTCCATCCTACACGTTCTTACAGAGGGTCTCTTCTGCCAGCATGACTCACCAGCTCTCCATCCTGCCTGTGTGCAGTGAGGCACATCTGTGTGACAGTGGTAAAGGGAAGAATCACACATGGGGGTGTCAAAAATGTATTTGTAGCTCTTCTGATTCTGTTTAGAGTGGAGGAGAAAATAATGCAGTGGGACAAATCAGGGAATTGTTGCTTACCGATGCTCTATTTAGAGATCAGTGTTGGACAAATAACCCTTTTTCCAGTTGTGTTCAGGCAAATTAGTGTAAAGAGCAGAAACATGGGTGTTAAAATAGCGATGATGGAAATGGCTTGCACCTGTGTTGACCAGTGACTGTCAGGATTTCTGGCTGCCCCAGTGATGTTTACACAAACATAAACAAAGACAGGAAAAATGGTGCTACAATGACAGCACCCATCATCTTTAGAAGCCAAAGAAATATTTGCATTTTTCTGGGGGATTTCAGGAAGTATTGATTCACACTTCCCTCCTCTTCCCTCCTGTATGTAACACTGCAAAGGTAAATGGTACCCTGAGCCTCGGGATGATGGTTTATCTTATTCGTACACAATCCATGCTCTTTCTACTACTAATGCATCAGTTTGTTGTGAGATTTGATGTTCTATAAACAGCTCTGCATTAACATAAGGGTTTCTTGATTTTTGAATAGCTGGAATTAGCAATTGGAGATGGGGTCAGTATTTACATAACCATTACAAATTGTGAGGATGGAAGTGACTTGATAAATTTGCTCAGTGGCAACTTTTGTATGCGGAAGTAGAGTGATAGATTGTAGAGACCTTCTGTGGCATTGAGATTTAAAAGATGGAACAAAATACGGTTTATGACCTTGTAAAGAACATTAGTCATGCCTATGCATATGTTGTTTTTAACTACTCACTGCCTAGGTGAAGTACAATGTGTACGATATGTTCAGTATGACTGCAATTTTAGAACATTACCTCCTAGTAATACATCCCATTCCTACTTATTGTGGAATTAGGGCATGTTTTTGTATCTAGCACCAACATCTGCTAGCAGATGTTAATGGGCACTCACCAGTTCTAGTTAATTTTCTATTTGTGCTAATGCGGCAACTCAGAAATCGTAGCTTGGTGCTAGATGGGTACCCAAAAAAGCATCAGGCTATAATTGATTCTAATGGGAGGCCGATCAGACTACAGAACACAAGGGTGCTATTTTCTATCAAAAAAAAAGTCATCATTTAAATGATGTAGAAAATCATGTTAATGCTGTTGTATATACATAGGAGAATTCACATGGCAATGAGAATTGTTCTGTATAAGCTTTAACTCTTGTTAAAGTAGTGATCTTGCAATCTCGGAAGCTTTCTTTCTTTGCTTTTTTTAAGAGGCTTTTAAAAATTTTATTTATTTAAGTGTCTTGGAGTTAAATCCAAACAGAGCCTGGAGCATTTTTTTAGTTATATCTGTTAAAGACAGATGAGCCATGCTTCTCCACACTGGTTGCAGAATTTTCTGTTTGAAGTTGCTCTCATTGTCCTATACAGTGTCTCACACGTCTTGTTCTGAACTATCTTTTTTGATCACTAATTGTCCTTTGCAGTAACATGAGAAAGAAACCACTTTTCTTGCTATAAGAGGTGGTATAAATTTTTGCACACGATCCAAACACTGTACTGAGTCTGACCTGTCAGTTTGACTTTAAATGCATTCACTGTATGGCTCTTGGTTGTGATTTGGTTGTCAGTAACTGTGTTTGCTGTTTCAACTGTTATAAAGTGCTTGGAACTGGGTACTACACAGATAATGTAATGATGATACTGTTACAGCTTAATCATACTATAAAAAGAAATAACCTCCTTGCTTTGGGGAGGGAATGTTTTGTTTGTGTTTGCTTTGGGTGAAATTGTTGGCAGTGTCCTAATTTTTCTGATCTTTTAGGTGTCAGACCTGAATGTTTTCTTACGTTGAGCCCCACTGAGCTGGGATGCCTGAGGTGCTGTCTCTGTGTGGTCAGCATGCTCAATAGCATACAGCTCTGTCTTTCTCAGAGGTCAGGCAGGCTGAGTGAAGCCCAGCCTGAATGTTTGGAAAATAGAAGGAGTTTTCTCTTTACTCGGGGATTAAGATTTTCCTCATTGTCCACAGAAAGCAGAGGCTGGGATCTTGAGGTAAATTTCAGTCTATGGTGTATGATGTTTTGGAACATCACAATTGTAGGCAATTGAATTAATAAAGAACACAGATTTGAACAAGTTGTCAAAGAGGTAATGAATGTTCCATCTCTGGGGACACTCAAGGTCAGGCTGGATGGGGCTGTGAGCAACCTGATGGAGCTGTAGGTTTCCTTGTTCATTGCAGGGGGGGAGTTGGACCAGATGGCCTTTGAATGGTCCTTTCCAACTCAAACAGTTCTGTGATAGATTAAGGATAGCTTTGGATTTTTAATTATGGGGAATCTAATCTGTTAGGTTTGTTTTCTAACTTTCTGATTCTGTGAAACAAACCAGATGAGGTATTCATACAGATCCTTTCTGTATGGGCAGCTGTCTTTTTGAGTTTACTTTGAGTGTGGATAAAAATCAAGTCTACTTCTGCATGGGAACATCTTCTTTATTTTTGTGTATTTTTAATTAAAAAAAAAAAAATTAAAAAAAAAACACCAAATTTGGTGATTTTACTTGACATGCTATGGGTGATCGGCAGAATTTATGAAGGTGTCAGTTCTGTTGCTGTATTGATGTCTGACTGTCCGTTTATATCTGTACCCAGGCAAACCGGGATGCAGTGATCAGCCGTGCCCCTGACCAGCAGGATGACCGTGCTGTCAGCTTTCGGGATGCTTCTGAAGTCTATGACCTTCTCAGCATCACTCTGGGCAGAAGAGGGCAGTATGTCATGCTTTCTGAGGTACCTCTGGCTTCTCTTTCAACTTCCAGTTGAAATGTGCAAGAGTGACCCATGTAGTCTGTAACTGCTGGTTCTTCATCAGGGAGGTGAAAAATCAAGCATACTATTTGACAATTAGTAGAAACAGCTGCAGACCTACAGCCACACAGGCCAGAACTGTTTGAGACATTAAGCTAATTTTTATGTAGGCACTTGAATAAAGCAGTCCTACTTTAAAGTGATGTTGTATGCTGGCAGGCCCCATTAATTAAGAGGAGGAAGATGATGTCATCATCAAAAAAACAACCTGACCTTCTCCACAACTAGTTGTCACTCCTTGTTTGATTTCTGAGCCATGCCAAAGCATCAGTCTTGACAGATAGATTTTTTTTTATTGTTGTTTAAATATATAACTTTTCTCCAACGTTTGTTTCTCAGTGCTTGGAGAGAGCCATGAAGTTTGCATTTGATGAATTCCACCTCTGGTACCAGCTTGCCCTGTCCATGGTGGCTTGTGGAAAGGTAAATTTGAAATCAAAGGACTTTAAAATGGCAATTTTTCCTCCAGTGGAATGCATCTAGGTTATCTTTTTGAATGTGTTTGATTGTGTTTTGTGTGGGTAGGCGCCACCAGACAGTTTATGTGAAAGGACAGTGCTCCCCTTTGAGACTTTGATTGCACTTCGTGTGTGTGCACTTCATAACCTGTACTGTTCTTTCCATGTAGTGTTTAATCTTCATTATCAGAGTGAAAATGGATTTTACACATGGCTGTGGATTGAAAAGCACTGTATTCCTTTCCATTCCATGCTGTTTCAACGTAAAGATTCTTAGCGTAAGGTGGCTACTGATGTCTCACAGTCAATCAACTCTGTGTTTTTGGGCAGTTGACTTAACGTCTCTTTAAGTTGTTTTTCCATCTGATCATAGCATGAGTTGGACTGGAAGAGACCTTAAAGATTTTCAAGAATATGTTGGTGCTTTTTCTGTAGAAAAACAAAGCATGTGTGAATGCATGTACTTTTGTCACAACACAAGTTTTTTAAAATTTATGTAGTATTTGTCAAAGTTACCAGTAAGCCACTGATTTGTCTGAAGTCTGGTTGCAAAAGATAGGCAAAGGTAGTACAAATCTTTTCTTAAAAGAAGAGATTTCCTGCAGGAAAAGTAGGTGATTAAAAAAAAAAAACCAAGAACTGGTTTGTGCTGAGAGTCTCTACCTACAACTGTTAGGAATTGTGAGCAGATTAATGCTGTGTGGTAAAAGACCATTATAGCATAGTCTTATACTGCATGCTCATGGAGTATAGGTGGTTCAGGTGGAACTTGGCAGAGATCACCAACTAACTATCACGAGCCACATGATACCTTCTCTTGGCCTTTCATGGCCTTGAGCAGAATTGGAAACTGTATTTGGAGTGAAAGCTGGAGATAAATACACAGTGTAATACTTTTGCAAAAAAAATTGTCATCCTGCAATTTATAAGTGACAGTAAAGCGTGGAAAATGTCTGAAGGGATTCCTTTCTTTTTATGAGCATAGACGAAGCCTTAAGCTGTTGGGTTAAGAAAATGGCAGACCAACAAGAGAAGGTCTATTAAGAGCATCAAGGATGGCTAAGGGTATAGTTAAGAACACTGTGGAGAGAGGAAAAAAAAAAATTTAGCCATGAAGGGAGAGGGAAAAAAAAGACCAAGATAAACAAATCTTCAAGAGTTTTTGTGAAGAGGTGTTTCATTCTGTCTGTAATGAATAGGATAAGATGTGATATCTTCCAGTTGCAGCAACCCAAGTTCATGTTTCCAATTAGGAAGAAAAAAAATGAATTGCAGTACACTGGAAAAGACTGCCTGTGGAGCTTGTGTGGAGCTTTTGTCACTGGTGATTTGTGTAACACCCTGGATTACAGTTGGATATGGAAAATGATAGCTTGACTCAGTCACATACACGGAAATATGAAGCTCCTGGAGGAATAGTGGAACAGCAAGCTTGGTGTCATGGTGGTAATACCTCGCGTTGGCCTTTGTCAGGTGAGGGCTATAGAAGTTGGGTGCAGCTCCCCTGGGCATTCAGCTGGAGCTAGCACATAGCTGCCCTCTCTGCCTTTCCAAATCCTCTGGATACCTGATCTGTTGATATTCAGGGTAACAATGACTAGATACCCACTGATGGAAGGCATAATATCTACCCATAAACTCTCTTGACTTAACTTGGAAGGTTTATTGCCATTAAAGGTTGTGTAGCCGATTTCTGATGGCAAACAGTGCTGTAACCCGAATCATCTGTTCTAGAGCAAACCTGGATTTTAATTGCTGATAGTTGAGAGTGTATCCAGAGAGTAACTTTGGTTTATTCTTAGACTTGTCTGTAAATGAGAGAGATGGAGCTTGATCTTTAGCTTCTAACAATTTGCATGATAAGTCTGTCCTCCTTATGCACTTGCATATCTTCTCAGCTTTTCTAGAAGCTACTGTGTACATGAAAGAGCTACGTAAGCATCCATATCTCTGTAACTCTGTCCTATCTTTTCAGATATCCTATTATGTCATGTCTTTTTGCCTGAACTTCTAATATTTAGAAGGTAGAGTGGCCTGATCTTGCCTGTTAACATAAAAGCTCTCAATTTTCTGAGCCTCCTATGGGGCAGAGGAGATTCCCTTACACAGCAATCTTGCCTGTGCAGCATTTCACTCCTAATCCACAAGTATTCTCTGAGGGTTCCTGTCGTATACTCTGCAATGCGTCATCTTGCTAATGGGAGATACAGCATACATTTTTATTCTTCTTTGCAGCTTGATAGCAGAACAGATTTCATTTACATGAAAGTACTCCAGTGCAGCAGAAAGAACTGCTGATAACAGTGTAGCTTGCCTAGAATGCAGAATGGAGAGCACACATGAGGTTTTATAGGTAAAAGATCTATTTTCACCTATCTCAGTCACAGCCAATTCCTGATCTTATTTCTTGGTAATGAAATCTCACATCCTGCAGTGTTACTTGTTCTGCAGTACAGCAAATTGTGCTCATAAATCTTGGGCATGACAGGAACCCTTTTACCACCAACCTGTGAATGCTGGAACTTGGTCTTCTTTTTTTTTCTTTTTTTTTTTTTCAAATACATTTTTAGGATTTGCACAATCTGACCTTCTTAAAAATGCTGTGAAGGTCTGTCTTGTCCCCTGTTCTGTGCTGTGTTGAACTAGCCAAAAAATTGCCAAACGGTGGCTCTCGATTTTCACAAGTGATCACTGTGAATGTTAAGTCAACCAGCTAAGATTGTTACTGTGTGTATGCTTGAGTTTATTCGTTAGTTTAAAAAGGATGTGTCTTAATAAAAATAGGCATGCCACTTCAGAAATTTCTTACAGAGCCGGCAAGGCCTTAGGGATTTATAAAACAGTGAATAAGAAAGCTCAAAGAAGCATAACCTTCCTATTGTTCTTCTATCCACTTAAAGCAGTAGAAATAATGGAGTGACAGCAATTTAACTTGCCTGTGCTTCTCAGAATCTCCCTTAATGAGAAAAATGGTGTCATCTGGTTCTTCTTGAGGTTTTTTGTTTCGTTTGTTTTTAAGGCTGTTCTTGGGAATGCACGTACTGTGTATTTTCCAAACAAAAGGAGCATTTTTTGTAGATTTATGATTGCAGTATGGCCTGAAATTTGAAATACTTTTATGGACAATTTTAGATGAAATGCTGGGAAGGCGTAGACAATAGCATGAGACATACCTGCTATAGAAAGGGAAGACTGAGAGATGTCCTGTGTCAGCAAGTGTAGTTCTGTATAGGCGAGAGAAAAGCTAAAATCAGACTGATGCAGAACCCTTGTGCTTCTGCATTGTTGCTAGAAAGCGATGCAGAACTCTGCGCAGATGCTTTGAGTTGCTTCTGCTGGTAGTAACATTCGTAATTTGGTGACATGACAGCCAGGGGTGGAGTGGGCATAGCAGCTCCCTGTGCCTGCCATGCGCAGACTGACCGAGCCCCAGTGGTGAGCACTGTGATAGCCCGATGCCATCTGGCACAGTCCTCAGGCTGTGAGATGAGCCACTGTCCTGCTGCCAGCCTAAAATGAGTGCAGTAGGTTGCATCTGCTTGTCTTGAGACTTTCAAAAAGTAAAAATGACCTGTTTTCAGAAGAATGGCAAAGGAGCAAACTTGTATTTACAGAGTAGAAGACTGCGTACGATGAGAATCTGCAGCTTTTCAGCTAAATGTTTTGCACTGAAGGCCATGGTGATAACTAGCACACAGCTGCTGGTGTCTGAAGTTGGAGGCAAAATTATCAGTCTAGGTGATGTATTATAGGCAAGAGGGATGTGAAATAGGGTCCTCGTGCACTTGCAAGCATTTCTCTGGCCTCAGACCAGTTGTATCAGTTACATGTTCAGACTCTTGTCCCTTTCCACACTTCACAGCCCCACACAGGACCCATCCCGCGTCCCAAAATGTCACTGGAGCTCTTTGGGATTAGAGACCCTGAAGTACATCATGGGATTGAATTCTGATTTAGATCAACAGTATTTGATGGTTTTCTGGTTCTGCATCGCGTGTTTTTTTTTTGTGCTGCAGCTGAAGGGAAAGGTGAACCAATAAGCAGTGCACCTTGTGAAAGCACACATAAAGCAGTGTTGATGCTTCTCTTTTAAGTACCAGTCCAAGGGGACAGTATTTGTCTTTCATGACAGTGATGTGCTGTTTCCCCAAGAGTGGTGAGGAAGGATTCTGCTGCAGGGAGAACTGAAATTATTAGGTGAATGATGAATGTACTTGATATATGAGTTCTGGATGTCCTAGCTGAGCCTTTCAACCTGCAGCAGTCTTAGTCAGCTTTCATGTCCAGTGGATATTTATTGCTAGTATATTCATTGCATGAAACGTTTTCATGCTCAAATTTAATATTTCTGCTCTATTTATTATTGTTTTTTTCATTACTGACTTAAAAGCTCTAGGATTGTTTATATGTTTCCTGACAGCAGAAATGGGGAGTGATACAGTCTCTGCCTTCCTGAGGGATGTCAGGAGTATTTGCTGAGGGGAGACAATCTGCCCTTGCCCCTCACTGTCTCATACTCATTTAGGGGATGATGAACAGCAGGATGTCAGTGAGAGAAGAGGTCTGGAGTTGGTGGCGAGGCTGCAGAGAAGAGCCTCTGTGATGGGAGTCCAGTGGAGCAGGAGGAAGTTTTCTGGAGGCAAGAGCTGTGCTCAGCAGACCTTGTGCTGGGGCTGCCGGTGCCTGCAGAATGCCATCACTTCAGCCCAGTGCTTGCCTTCAGGACAGCAATTGCATGAGTCCAAAAACAATTGTGTGGTTGCTGATCCCCCTGTTCTGAATGGCTGCCAGTAGAGGAATTGAAGCCAGAAGCATGGCACTTTGCAAAACCAAGCAGAGAAACCTGATTTCAACTGCGCAAAATGATCCTGTCTCCTCTTAGCCTTCTTGTGTTTGCTCATGTTTAAGACAAGAAGGAAGAAAGAGCCACACTTGTCTACCTGAATGGTTCTTAATAACATAGCA